AAGAAGGTTGGTGCTTAAGAAACATCTGTAGAATGGCAGTACCCCAAAAGGTAGCATGAGATACAAATATAGAACAGCAAGTCAACATGTACTAATTAGGAAGAAGTTATAGAAACAAGCATGTGAATACATGTATGGGACATGTACTGCTATGTTAAGTTTACCTTGAGAATAGTTAAGTGTTCTAAGGTAAAGTGCGAAATCCAAATTGGGTGATATCAAAATCTAGTATATAAATAGTAAGAAAACCCATTGGGTTAGAGAGCAGATGGAGGTAGTTAGAACTAGATGGTTTAAATGAGTACCACCCTAGTTGGGATGCAGATATGGCAGATAGTGTAAAACCTTTGGGTGGACTATTTAAATAGATACTCAAAAGGTGTACATGTGGCTTGATATACCATTGTTGTAATTATATATAAAACTTTATCTATACTCTAATAAAAAGTTCCTCAGGCCAAAGAGGTCACCTTAATACCAAAAAAAATAAAAAATAAAATAAAATAAAATTTAACATTGAAAAAAGTTCTAAAATTATTCAAAAAAAAAAGAATAAAGCTAAAGTTAGATTAGAGTTTAAATAAAAGAGTTTATATATGTAAAATTCAAAGCTGAAAACTTTTGTTTAGAAGTTGAAATATAGTTTTTATAATAAAATTTAGAGTTATTAAAGTTTTTTTAATTTTTTTTTTCTTCACTTTGTTTTGGTTATATAAGATCTAGCAATCTGATTGGTTTTTATACAACTAGGTGATATTACCTAGGGTGAAAGTTAGCAATATTCAAATATTTTATTGTTAAGAATATAAATAAATTTTTAAAAATATTAAATTAATTGGTAACCCACTAGTCAATCAAAGAGTAATTATAATGAAACATAATATAAATCACTTATAGAAATTAAAGTTTTCTAAATATGGCATACATGCATCTAAAACTTTTTTTATACTAAATTAATCATCCTTCTTGTTTAAGAACCTTTTGTAAAGCTTGTCAAAATACATCTAATAGTAGTTAAAGTATTAAAATTGGCCTGGTAAATGCTGAGATATCTTTAAAAAATATTTTTTTAATTATGTAAACTTCTTTGCAAATAATACTATTGTTTGTAAAAAAGTTTATATAGTTAAAAAAACATTTTTTAAAAATATTTTGGCACCCACTAGGCTGATTTTGATGCTCTAACTACAATTAAATGCATCTTGACAAGCTTTACAAAAGTCTCTTAAGCAAGAAAGATGATTAACTTAGTATAAAAAAAAGTTTTAAATGTGTGCACATAATATTTGAAAAACTTTAATTTTTATAAGTAATCTGCATCACATTTTATTATAATCACTCTCTGGTTAACTAGTGGATTACCAATTAAATAAATTTGTTTTTATAAGAACATAAATCTCAAACCAGATTTTCAATACTGGTGATACTATAATTGGATTTTGGCAATTTTGGCTCTTTAGAATCATTTTCTCAAAGCAGTTATTTGGTAGTAAAATAATTTGGTCTATCAAAAGTTATTTACTATTTTACTGTATAATAATTTGAAAAATTGTTTTGCATAGCTTATCTTAGTTAAATAATAATATCTCAAAAGTATTAATTAGAATCACATGATTCTGGTACTATTCTGATAAGATAAATTGAATGGTATCAAAATCATTCAACTTTGTTAGTGCTATAATTAGTATCTGCACTACAATTTGCCTTTTTTTATTTTTATTTTTTAATTAACAATAAGTTCTCAGAATTGAATTATTTTGGTACTATTAGATTCGTCCTGATAAGATGACCAAAATTATTCAATTCTGATTAATAGACTATATATTATTAGCTAAAATACTTACCATAAATCGCTGGATACAAGACCCGGGTCACTTACATTCTACCAATTTTAAATCCCATAATAGACCCCAGGTCTAGTATACAGCCAAAAGTTCATGTCACTATGAGGAAAACTTTGAAGAGAATGCATGTTTTGCATTTATAATAGACAATCCAAATATTTGAAAAAACCCATGTTTGATTAATATAGATCTCATAATACGCATCTGGGTATAATACATGGTGGCCTACTATCATAGGAGATCTTGTATCCGGTGATTTACGGTACTTGTGCCATAATACCCATACTCATCTTATATTAAAAAATTTGAGAACATTAGTAGGAACTTAAAAAAATATTCTTACCATAAATTCTCAAAATAGTAGACATGGGTGTTATTTTGAATTTTGGTCCGAATTAAGCTTAATTTAGACAAATTTCGTAATTTTACTATAGGTTGAAATTTTTACAATTCAGATTTCAACTTCAACTTAAACTGGGTTTAACCTGAATTTAAATAAACACAAGTGATTCAGTTTTGTGATTTTAATAAACTCGTAAAACTGAATTAACTCAAATTTAAAAAAACTGATTTTTACAGTTGTAATAAACTAGTGGTTAGAACGTCTAAATGTCTATACTTAGGATAGCTTGATACGTTGTAAATAGGAATAATTGGTTGTGCAATCAAAATTCAGCAGATCCGGGATGGAAAGGATCGAAATTGATAAATTTTGCTAATAATCTAATAATCCAATAAAATTGCCAAACACTTAATATAGTTAGATATTATTATTGATAAATGCCAGCCTAAACTTTGGCCAATTTCCAACTTTTGGTTGTGTGACTAATCTATCTGTAAATTGCATGATCATAGAATTTTTGCTAAAAATATAATGCAGGACTACATATAATTTTTCTGCGAGCAAATTAAGATCTCATATGTAAGAATAATTAACAACAGTATTAATAGATAAGATGATGAATAAAGATATTATATGTAAGATTGGGTAAATAATTGGAAATGAAAAATAAAATGAAAAAAATATTGAGATAAAAAAGATAGGTAAAATGTATAAACTCAAAATGCATAGAAATCATTTGTGCATTACCAAGAAAATGAAACTTCGGACTTTCAAGCTTATCATTATTATTTATCAAATTCAGCTAGTGAAATCTGATCAAAATATATATTATGTGATGTTACTATTGTACTATCAGGTTTTTAAAGGCCAAATCTAAATAAATTATAAAATTGAAGGCTCGAAGTATGATTTCTCATTTACGATAGTTCATCAATCGGAAATACTGTAACAATTTTATTAATTTTTTATTTAATAATATAACTTACTATACCATACTTAAATAAAAATTTAAAATTTTTAGATTGCAAGATAACTTCTTTGCTAAAACAGAAAGCTTTTTTCTTGTGTAATATTTTACGATAGGATTTTTGAAATCTGTGCTAAGCTATGTTGATCTCTAAATGTATAATAATATGGAAGGCCAAAATAGTATGGTAAAGGTGTAAAATACGTACCTTTTAAAAAACCATATATACCATACTAATCCCTGATCACTATGTCAAGACCACGAGTGATTATTATTACTTATACCCATACCCTACGAATTTGGTCTCCTACACCATTACCATAATTCGACACATTGCTCGTTAATTTTTAGGAGTTTAAAATAAGTGAATTAAATCGACAAACCTTAAAAAAAAAAGATCAGCAGATGAATAGATTATAGGACCTAAAATTGCCAATTTAATCTGTTAAAAGTAACAGATATAAATTAAAACCTTTGTTATTTATTAAAGAATCACTTATATTAATATTTCTGTACGTTTTAACGTTTGAAAACATTAAAAAATGAAACTTTTCATTGCTGCGCATTGTTAGAAAAAAAATAAAGAAATTATACTGATTTTATCAGTTAGGACCATAATTTGAACCTGAACCGACTGTTATGAGATCGAAAAGATCGAAACCCGGATTTTATTAGTTTCGAAAACCGATCTATCATTATTAGTCACATTAATTGTTACATGTTTTGAAATATTTTTATTGATTAACTGTATATATTATGACAATATAATCTTAATCCTTTATGTTAATAACCAAATATAGCGCGCTTGTTAAAAAAAAAAAGTACCGAATGATCACAAATTACTATCTCACTCAATAAAATCGAATTCATGTACCTAAATAAGTCGCAATAAACGCAATTTAAACCTTAAGGCAATCTGTTGATAGCGATAGAGAATAGTTTATGTACTCTCACTTGATCTCGCTCCAGGGTAACGAATACCAAATCCGGTATGCTCACAAACAGTAGCAGTATATTACACCAGCAAATAAATGCAAGCTTTTTCGAGCTCGCCATTCTAGATGGCAGTAAACCATACACTCTCATGGCTACGTTCCTAGTATTCGATTTTTCGGTTTTATTAAATTCGATAAATCCGGTTTTATTATCGGTTTTATTAAATCCGGTTTATCCGAATATAAAATATTCGAATCGGGTTGAACCAGGTGTAGCAATTCGGTTCCAACCTCTAAATTTTACTCCTGGGCGTTATTTCGAGAAAAAGAACATGAAATCAAAATCGAATTTCACACACTGCATTTCGTATCCACCCTGTATATATATTTATAAAGAAAATCACTACACTGGGTGATAATGTTATTTTGTTATATTTTATAAAACGGCTATAATATGGTAATATTATGTATTATCTATGAAATATTGGGGTTTTTTTTTATAGTATTTGTTTGATTATCTCTCTTATATATAAATAATAGCCGCATATACTACCTATTATTTAGTATATAATTACCGTATAACCGCGAAATAATGCGCAGGGGTGTAATTTCAATTTTCGGCCTAAATTAAGCTTAATTCGGGCCAAACTTCAAAATAACGCCCCTGTGCGTTATTTCGCGGTTATACGGTAAGTGAATAAATAGTTACCATATCTTGTAATACTGTATATTCTCTAGTAAAGATGACGTTAGCATTATTTATCAAATGTTCTAACTGTTCTGCGGAATTTTTTTTGGTTGAAAAATCCAATAGTATTTGTAAAAAATTTTAAAGACATTAACTGTTAATATATATTTTACTGAAAATATTCATCTCGAATTTTATAAAATTAATATTTATTAGAAATAAATTATGTTGTGTTTTTAGCTTTTTTTTTAGCATACCATCTAGAAGTAATGAAAAATGTTTTATATTCATTAAACTCTTCAATACTTTTTTGCATCATTTCATCATATTGTTCAGAAGAAATATTCATGAATGGAGATAGGGCTGGTTTTATTCCGATCATCCGGGTAATGATATTATCCCTTCCCTGAAAAAAAATTTTAAAGTCAAAATATGTATAAAAACAAGTAAATACTTTAGTAAGGAGAATATTTACCACTTCTCCTATCTTGCCAGCCCATGAGCCAATTGGAACTTCTTTTGTTTTATGACAGATCTAAATGAATAGAAAGGTTTAGAGACAAATTTTGCCACAATTTATTGTAAAATTAATGTATCTTATTGATAGATTGGTTTTTATGATCAAAGTTTATTATATACTAACATCATCAAAATGTTGTGTATCTCTCATTAATTTTCCAATAATCTGAGCAACATCTGGATTTCTTCCCTCCTTGATGAGCATTTCCCTGCCTATTTTCGTTGAATTAGTTGTTTAGTTAACGTTTGATAAATTAGATGAATGATATCTAGTAAAATTGAAAGAATCTTACGAGCAGACAATAAATTTTCCAACACCGGACCACAATCTTGGCATAATTCATATTCACATAGTTCTAACCAACCGCCAATTTTGACAACACGTACAATTTCCTAAATATAAATAGGAAAATCATGAATGTCTAAGTAAGAAGTAAAAAAAAAAAAAAAATCCAGCAGCAAAACAAGAATAAAAAAGAAATTAGAAAAGAGACGTACATTCATGACTATTTCTTCCCATTGAGATTGTGTAAAAGATGGAAACATATATCGCTATTGATTTTATTGAAAATTAAACTTTTAAAATTAAAAAAAATAAAATAAAAATAAAGAAAATTACTACCATATGTACAAAATCAAATGATTCATCAGGATGAGGGATTCCATCCATAATATTTCCTTCTTCAAAATTAACATTATTGGGTTTGATTTCCATTGGAAATATTGGTGAAATATCTATACCGATGAAAGAGGATTTTTCATAATTCATCTGAAGATAAAGAACATTGTTGAATCTTGGGAAGGTAACCTGAAAAGTTTGTTTAATAATGACTAAAAAAATGCGGTACCGCCATCTCTATTGCCCATGTGCCTGGTCCACATCTTATTTTATTTTCACAATAACATTCGCATTATTTAACATTAAACTTGTATAGAAAACATTTTAATGGGAGAAATTATAATTACCCAACATCCAGAACATTACATCTTTCTTCTAATTGAGGAGCTATCGGAGATGAGAAATTTGATTTCCTGTTATTTAAATGATTAAAAAAGGTTTAACATTCTCCGATCTCTAATTCGATATAACAAGAAATAAAGTTAATACCAAATGTCTCGTGTCAAGAAATGTTCCAAATGCAACCGATCAACTTTTATTTGAAAAGATAAGTATTTATTTTTTATTTAATGAGTAATTAACGTTGTATGAAATTGACATGTACGTACTTTCATCCTCGTCATTTGGTAGATCATAGGTAATATCAGATACATTATGAAATCTACGACCTAGTAAATATCGAAACTGCTCATGAGCTTCACTATCTAATGACTCATTAATAACAGGTAAAACTTTTCCAGGTCTTGAATTTTGCGAACCCATTCGTATGGTAACGATAATGGAGATTTATAAAAACTTTAAAAAAAATAAAGGAATGTGAAAGGAGAGGAAAAGATCGGAAAATATTGATATATGTTAAAGATTTTTTCCTTTCAACCAAATATAAATCTTATCAAGTGATACACAACATAAATACAATAAAACTCGCATAAGATAAATAAACAAGTAACTGTTTCTGAAGAAATTCATTATGCACACGTATAAAAGTTTGATAAATCTTATGGTGTATTTTATTATGTAATTTCTTCTAAATGAATACCTTGTTTGTTTGCAAAAATGTGTAGTACTACAGCTGTCACTTGAAATTAGAACAAGGTGCGCGCGATTAGTTCTTATCTCCTGTGAAATTAGATCATTGTCCCGAGATTAACCGAATGCCGAGTTAAAAAATTAATTATAGGTAAGTTGTAACTATATAAAAATATATAAAAGGTAATAACCCGAATATAACGAAGGTTATATTATATGAATTAAAAGTGCACCGTAAAATGCTCCTCTCGCAATTTTAGCCTACTCTCCTAACCTGAACACTAACACTAACACTAACACTAACACTAACACTAACCCTAACCCTACTATTTATCTGCTTATTTGCTATTAAAAAACAGGTGTGCACTTTTTAGTTTTTTTCATATTATATTGACAATAACGATTCTTAAATTTTTTAGCCAATCAAAATCAAGGAAAGTGGATAACGCAGCAAGAAATTTTCTGGGTCCAGATAACGATATGTAATTATCTGTATATAGATAAATAGGTACGTACCTGGTACAAATTCTAGAAATATCCGACAGTTTGGAGATAAGATAAAATAAATTTATTAGTGTTACTCTGCATGCGCGTAGATTAATCGATAACACTCGACACTAATCATTGATAAATAATCAACAAATAAATAATAATTAATTATAATATCAATATATAATAATATGATTAAGTCAACATGTATTATCGAAATCGATATTATTTTACATTATATTAAATTTCTCGATATTTAACATTTAAAACTTTTCACATATTTTAAACCTACAATCGGGCTTTCAAATATATTTTATGTACAGTTGTTTATCTGTGTGTCGCCTATGGTAAATCTATGTCCGATGATAGATTTACATAGACGGCACACAGATAACCAACTGTACACAAAATATAGGTTTTCCCTTGACGGCACCCAAATGCAAATCCAATAATATAAGTATCGGATGAAGCTGTTAGAAAAATACACTAAGTGACATCATAATAGCAGCATCGTGTTGTTTCAAACACTACGTAGTAAAGCGTTCCTTGAATTAAAAACATTACGTATAGTGCCTTGCTGATATTTTGTACCAATTATGCTTAAATTAACCAATCAAATCGCACTCTACAAATAGTATTTCGTGCTTCATAACTATTAATTATTATTGTATCTTGCATGCTTTATCTAAGTAACTTTTCCGTAAATATCCGAAATGAGCCAATACATACGTACGTACTTATCTGTTATGCATTTTTATTTGACATGCGTAAATAATATATACATTTAAAAAATAACTCACGTCAGGACCATTAATATTCCGACTAAAGATGTATTCTCAACTTTATGTTGCAACAATTGCTGCCCTATTCACAAAATTGACTATAATCCATGCTAGATGTATATTTTCTTAAAGAACCAAACAACACCATAGTTTTACTCCATAAAAATATCGGTACGGTAGTAGATCAGTGAATGAATCAAAAATCTGTTGGTCACGATAGCGGCCAAATACATCTTACAGATATTTTTTACGATAACCACAGGTCGAATGAAGGCAAACAACCAGCATAACGTAATCCCTTATTTGAAACAGATATTTAGCAGAAATAAGAGACCTTTAGGATACTAATAGGGTTCATATAGGCGTTCAATACATATCGGGATG